GAATTTGTTGCTGGAAAGGGTGGTGAGGCCTTGGCAGGGGCTGCCCAGGGAGGTTTGCAGTGCCCATCCCTGGAGGTGTCCCAGGAAGGCCTGGCCGTGGCACTCAGTGCTCTGGGCTGGGGGACAAGGTGGGGATGGGGCCCAGGGTGGATCCATGGGTTGGGAGGGCTTTTCCAACCTCAGGGATTCTGGGATTGTGTGATCACTACCTGCTCCCTCTCCTGTTTACTCCAGGATGTTCAGCTGGTGAGATGTGCCAGGCCACCACTCACACAGAGAAGGGAGGACCTCAGTGTGTCCTCACGTCACAGAACCACTGAGGTTGGAAAAGGCCTCTGAGATCACCGAGCCCAACCACAACCTGACCCTGCCAGGTCCACCACTGCCCATAAAACCTAAACTCCCATTCCCAGGGTTTTAAACACGACTCCCAGGCTTGCAAGGCTGCCCTGAGCAGAACAAAACCCGCAGAGAAGGCGAGGAAGTCATCCCCTAACTTCCCTGGAGACACCTACCACGTTCTCCAAGGGCGCGGCCCCGAACACTTTGAAGACAGGGTTGGGTTTGGAGGGTGAGATGCAGAGCACGATGGCCTGCTGCCCCACCCGGGTGGTGTACTCATCCAGCGTGGCTCGGAGCTTCCTGCAACACAGGGAGGGACAAACCAGGGGATGGGTGTCAGCTGAAAGCCCTGGAGAAACACGACCCCCCCTCACTGTGAACCCCTTTTCTTCACGCTGCTCGTTCACCAGGCAGGTGAGAGACAGGGCAGGTTGGCCCCATCCACACCCAGGTTATCCCTGCTGTGCTCCCTGCCCTCCCCCAGCAGCTCAAATGTCAATTATTCCCCCTCCTCTCCTTTTCCCAGCGAGGTAAAAAGAGAAAAAATCAGCAGGGCAGCAAAGCTGGGGCAGCAGGAGGCTGAACTGCTCTGCCTCAGCAACACAGAACTTGGAGTTTGTCGAGTCACTCGAAGGATTCAACAAAAGAAAGCTGCAAACACAGGTTATTCTACATCCAGATCATAACAGTGCAGTTCTCTAGTGCCAAAGTCCTGCCCAAACCACAACTGTGAGAATTCCAGCTACAGGACAGGCAAGAAGCAGAAATATTGCAACAGCTCAGCCCAGGAAACCCAGGTGTGCACCCAGCTCAGCAAGTCCCTTTGGAACGATCCCTCCATGGGATGAAAATGTTCCATCAGGGCCTTTCTGCCTCTTACTCACTTTTGGGCAGTGCAAGAGAACATGGCAGAAATGTTGGCAGGAAAGCCTAAGGCAAGAGGGAAGTAGCATTTCCCTCAGAAAACCTGAGCTCTCCACGAAGTGACAGCTCAGTCCCCGCCCTGGTCACCCCAGAACCTGCCAAAAAGCACCACCACCAGCACCAGGAGCTGCTCAGAGATCCCAGAATGAGGAGTTTTAACTTCCCACTCGATTCCCAGTGGGGTGAAAATCAAGCAGGAACACGTTAAGCTGATCCCAGTGCAAAAAAAAATGATGCCTTTTGTCAGTATCTTACATGTGGTAAAATGAAGCAGTTTTGTGAAGGGAGGAGAAATAATTCCTTCTTTTAAAATATAATGTTCATGTTTCAAGGGAGAAAAGAATTTGCTCTCCAGAAAGGTGGCTGAGTCAGCAGAGCTGGGGGAAGGAGGGAAAAACCCAGGGTGGAGCTCTAAAAGGAAGGGATTTCACTCCCAAGGAAATAATATTTAACACTAACCCTGCCCGATTAAAACCGAAACAGCACAAAAAGCAAAAACTGCTTTGTTGCAAAACCCAGAAAACGGTACCAGCCAATATTCAGGAATGTTTCCAGAGGGTGGAAGTGCAGGTGGTGTTTCCAGGCTGGAAAGCCTGTGGAATCCTGTCGGTGCTCCTCGGAGGCCCCCAGGTGGGCAAACAGCCTCAGAGCACCCGGGATGCAACACCTGAAGGGCTCTGCTGGCTCAAAAAGAGCCCAAAAAAAAAAGTGTTTCAGCTCTGTCAGCCATCCCCCTTTGATTATTCTCCCCCAAAACTGTGCTCTACAGGCCGGGGGAGCCTTCAGCGTGGAGTTTGTCCACTGGCAAAGGAAATTTGGATAAACACACACTGAATTTATTCCCAGAATTGTTTCATCATGCAAAAAAAGAAAGACTTCTTCGAGGTAGGTAAGTCCTTCATGCCCCTGCAGAGCTGGGATGTGGATGGAGCTCCAGGCTCTCAGGCCAGAGAATGTCAGAGTCCTGTTAAAAACTGATTTCTTTGCTCTGTGAGCAGGGACAGGCCCCAGGGAAGGGCTGGGGCTGGGCCAGGGCAGGGTCAGGGTGGATCTCAGGACAAGGTTGGATGAATGACCCTTGTGGGTCCCTTCCAGCTCAGGGTATTCCAGGATTCCAAAGCCACTACAAACATCTTTCAGGGCCACGTTACTGTGACACATTTAGCTCATGATCAGGGTTCAAACACAGCAGTGGATCCACCAGAGGGGTCACATCAGTGACCATAAAATCACCTCAAGGAGGAGCAGGGCTGGAATGCAACCCATTCCTGCAAACTGAGACACAGCTCTGGGGTTCCAGAGTGAAAATATAAAATATATAAAAATAAAAATATGTTAGGGTTCCAACTAAAAAATATCTCCAGTCCCTGTAACTTCTGGACAGCACAGAGATGGATCAGGGATGCAGCCTGAGGTGTCTGAGGGAAGGTGGAAATCTTTACCTGGCAAAGGTGTCTGAGGGCAGAGGGAATCCTTACCTTGGCAAAGGTGTCTGAGGGAAGGGGGGATCCTTACCTGGGCAAAGGTGTC